CTGCATTTACCATCCTGCAGTGAAAATGGCCTGTCCTCCCTCTTTGCTCCTCACTTCATCACTGTCACACTACAGCCCTTACAGTCCTGCCAGCTCCTGAGAAAAGTTATCAGGAGGTTCCCTAGGAGTCATCTCGCTGCCAGTGGGTGCCAACCAACTACTTTAAATTTTGCTTGGAGAATAAAAATTCCCCACACCCACATTTACCTTCACCCCTCAAGTGTTACTCTCTCAAGACAACATGCCCAGTGGGCACCGGTACCGCTGAGGCACTGACCCGATGCGCTTCCCAGCAGAGAGCGAGCTGCGCTGGCTCCAGCTGGCGCTGGAATCATCCCAAGACCGGCAGTGCAGCTCAAAACACTTATAACAGTAGCTGCAAGACTTTTTTGATTCATAACCCAACTTCCCACCAAGTGTCCTTTCCCGGGAGGCTCTCTTGGGACAGGCAGGGATGCTTCCACACACAGCCCGACCACACATCGCATGGACTCCTCCTCTGGCACTGCTCTGCCGTTCAGACCCTTGGATTTGCTGGGTCATGCTGTGTTATACCCATGTTGGATTTGCTCCTAAGTAACAGTTATATCCAAATCAAATTAATACCTGTATCTTACTGCAGAGGAAGTGAAACAAAGAGACATCTATAATACATTTGTCATGTCTATAATAAATTTGTCATGTTTTGGCATCTCAACTTCCCTTAGCTAACATCAGTAACTTTCTTGTATCATTGTACTGCTAACAATATGCTAGAAAAGCTCAAGACAAAATCTCAAAGAACTAAACAAGACACAAAACTCCCCCTTCACATTTTCTACATTACCTTCCTTCTGATCACCCCTGCACTGTGCACAGGAACATCCCAAAAGTCATCTCAAACTGCACTGTGTTTTACTAAATCATCCCAAGACCTCTCCATCAGATGTTCATTTTCAGCAGCTTTTGCCAAATCAGTGCATCAGCCACTAATTACTGGTGCCAACTTTGTTCTCCATCTCCCAAGAGCAGACACTTGGCATTTGCAGGGGCTAACAATAGCCTGTGTTGAAACCATCTCCTTGTTCCCGCTAGGAAAAATTCACATTTGTGAAAATTAACCAGTAAGAGACAAGGTTGTACTTTTCTCTTGTGCTGCTCATCCAGAATAAATCAAAAGGACAGCAGCACTGTAACAGTTCACCCAAAAAACCCTCAAAAACCCCTCTTTTTTCTAAAGCCAGCTAAAACCTCATTGATATTTCAGTGATTTTCTCCTAATGCTGCAGACTGTCATCCAGTGAAGGAATAAAAAGTGCCCAAGTTGTCGATAGAAGGGAAACCTGTGCTTCTGGCTTAAGCGTAAAGTCTGGAGCTGGGCAGCCTGCCTTGTGCTCCTGCCTCTGACACAGACCTTCCCTGCGGTGCCGCGAGATGCAGAAAGTGGCCGAGGGCTGGGCAGCAAAACTGCTGAGGGAAAAGCATGTGCACAATCCTGCTTGATGCTGCAGCCTGGGGTTTTTTTTGGATGTCCTCCATTTTTGCTTGCAGCTAACCCAGGCAAGTGATCCTAACCGCTCCCAGGCAGCAAAGTCCTAGTCGTTTGCTGACTCCAGAACCAGACAGTGTCCCCAGCTGTGACAGCCCCAACTATACATTAACATATGTAGAGTACATCAAAACCGAAAGAGGAAAGGTCTTTAGACCATGCAGGTGCGAATTACTTACAGTGTTATACATCATATAAGATCCCTCTACTCTGCTCTCTTCTCCTGAGCAATGTGCGATATCCCCATCTTTTACCTAAACTGTTCCACTTTTCAATCTGGTATTTTACTTCTTGTAGCTGGGCTCTACCTGAGCTCCCATGTCCACTGCGACGAGAGGTCTGAACACCCAGTGCCATGGCAGCATCATGCATCCTGGCTCCGATCCTCATCTCTAGGACAGGGAAAATTCACGCTGACACAAACATCAGGTTTATCTTTGCAGAAGAAGAATTCTCCATCATTGACAGTTTGGGATGTCTGACAACACCTTATTTTCTGGGAATTTTTGCCTTGCTCATTAATCTTTGATATCATGTGCTTTACAGAAACCTAATTACATGACATCTCCTGATTCTGCTTTACCCATCGCGGCAGGCAAAGCCCAAACAGATGCTGTGAGTTGCTGAAGCATGAACACACTGCCTGCCACGAAAACCGCCTCTCCCCTTGTTTTCTGTCACTCCCTTTAGGACATCCACCAAAAGCAGAGCTGCTGCCATGTGATCTTGTTTTGTTTTTTCATGACCCCTTTCAAAAAGGCTCAGGGAAATACAGCTGCACCTACAGTTCTTCGAGTCCGTTATGAAGCGGCTGCACTTCAATAGTACCAGCTTTAAGGTTCCCCAATCTCACAACAGCAACATTGTCCTAATAAAGCAGTTTCTCATTTTTCACCTCTTCTTTCTGGTAGGGGGAAGGGGACTTTCTGGCAAGCCCAGAGCAGAGACCAGGACAGGCAGCTGGGAGACTGAACTGTGTGTCATGTTCACAGCCATCATCTGCAGCTTGTCAGCACAACAACTTACTGGAATTTCTTTTCCAATATGAGTG